CCATTCGATGCATAAAAAAAACCCCATTTTTCCCAAAACCCTGAAAAATGAGCGAATTCTCCGATCCAACCATGGATCCTCGACTTTCATGCATCAATTGAGTTTCTAAACTCACATGCAACTTAAATAACAAACATTCTAGCTTCCCTTACCTGAAGATTGGCTCAGATAGCCAAAGACTGAACAAAAGTAGAATTTCCCCTCGAGGCTCAACTCGGAACTTCAGTCCTCCCAAAACAAGCTTTCTGCCAAGAACTGAGGAGAAGTAGAATTTCCTTACAAAGCTCAACCTAGAACTTCAATCCACCCAAAGCAAGCTTTCTAGTCTGAATTTCAAGAAAAGACAGAAGACATTAATGATCTAGAGGAGAAAAAGAATGATACAGAGAAAAAGAATGACACAGACCCAGAGTCCTTCTCTTTAAAACTTCTCTCTAAAAAAACTTCACTTTCTCCTTAACCAAACAACTCCTATTTATAGAAGTTCAGGAGTGGCTAGAACGACCCATTTCAAATCTGGAACGGCCTGTTCTACACCCCTTCATCATGTGCAAAAATCACATGCAGAACGGCCCATTCTGAAACCAGAACAGCCCGTTCTGGGACTCATCCAGAACGGCCCGTACTCCATCCAGAACGACCTGTTCTGGGATTTGGAACGACCCGTTCTCAACTACGATTTATAGGTCAATTTAGCAGTTTGGAACGGCCCGTTCTAGGCTACTAAATCACCCATATTGGGCTTTTGGGCCTTCTGAAATAACTTACTACGTTACAAGCCTAATTAGAATATTTACAAGGCTCGACTCACTAATCAACTAATTAACGAGGTTAAACTACTAATACAATATGTTCCTAAAATAAATTCAAAATGAAGTATAGAAGCGTAACATTGAGGTGCTTTTTTGGAACCTTAAACTCTTAACAAAGAAGTTGTAGATCTCTGTCTTAACTTTCTAGAGACACGAAGAACGTCCAATTCTGGCTTTGGGAGCTCCTCCATAGATGGCTTACACAAGACAATATGTCAAAGTGAACACAAATTATAAAAATAAACTATAATTTATAATTAAAATAAAAATAGCCCACTGAAATAAATGTCAACCATTTCATCAATTTAATATACTACTAAACTTCAAATAAGCCCAATCTAATGTACTAAAATATGTACTAAATATGCACTATCAAATACCTCCATATTTAATCTTTTGAACTTTAGACAAAACCCAATTGTTCAATAAAACTCCAAAAGAAAGTATGTATAAAATTTCAACAATTTTTAATGAATTACAAATGTTTAGAAAAAGAGAAAGAGTACAAACATTTCATAGGTTGAATATTAGAAGTAGAAAACTAGTTCACTGTTGTGTAATTGTTAGTCCTACTATTATTGATCCTCCTTGTACTTTTGATTTTCATTCTTGTAAATCTAAATATGAAAATACGGTAACTATGAGCTAACCTTGAAGGAATTGGGTTACACCTAATGTTGTATGCCAACCCTGCTTGTCCAATATTCTAATGTGGAATTGAATTATGAACTTAAATCTAGACTAATCGATTTGTTTCCTAAGAATAGATACATATGTGTGGCTAATATGTTCAATCGATTCGAGATTCCATAAATTATTGCAATTAATTCATGTAAAAAAAAGTAGAGAGAAAATTTTGAGAGATAGAGAGAGAATTTAGATATTGTACTATCTGTATCGCGGAACCGAGCTCAAGCTCGGCACTGAAGCGTTAAACGACATCGGATGAGTGCTACCAGACATCGGCCAGAACAAAGGCCCACTATCTGAATGGATCATAACCGACCTCAGGCCCAAGGCCCAGATAAACCCCAATTCATACCAAGGTACGTGCATTATATATATGAGACCCATACACCTGCATATACTAACTTCAGCATCGAAGTCTCTTTTGCAGGTACGGCCCCCACTTCGGAACAGCCGACGTACCCAGCGAAGGAGGCTCACCAATCTTGCCCAACAGACCGTCCCTCACGACCGATCTCCGGTAAGAACATTTGGCGCCCACTGTGGGGCCGATCAAGACATCTCTTATCGGCCACGCTTATGGCTTTCACCCGAAGCCATAGTAGAAGAGCAACAGACGACCAAGATCACGCATCAAGAATAGAAGGAGAAGCGACATTGAGACGACTGATCGAGCAGGTCGATCAAATGTGACAACAACACACTACCGACCTGGAGAACATGCGTGCTTGGCACGAAGCTGACCTCGCGACACTACAAGCTGAGAATCAGCGCATTCGCGCCCAGCTTCCTCAACGCTCCCCTGATTAGCTCTCTCAACCAAGCAATCAACACGAGGAAGAAGGGCACTCGGTTTCCCAGCCACCGACTGCACCGAGGGCAACAACCCATAGGTCTACTACACATCGGTCACATGTACCGACACACAGGTTGGACCATGAAGTCAGTAATGCACCCGCCCAAGCTCCAGGACATAGGGCAAGCATCCGCCGTCATCCTTTTGTTGACGGCATCATGGAGATGCCCCTTCCTTTTGGATGAAAGCCTCTCAATATCGACCGCTATGATGACACTACCGACCCAGATGAGCACATCAATCTGTACGTCACACAGGTAAACCTATACACTAACGATGATGCTATCCTATGTAGGGTTTCTCTGACCTCGCTCAAGGGATCGGCACTTGCTTGGTATACTCAATTTCCAGTGGGATCAATCGATAGCTTTGACACTCTGGTAAGGCAATTCACGGCATAGTACGCAACGAGTCGACCTCATCACATCACATCCACCGCCTTGGCCAACATCAAACAGGGCGACGACGAACCATTGAGAACATTCATGGAGTGCTTTGCTGGCATCTCCGTCAAAATCCGCAACCTAAACCCCGAGGTCGCCCTACACGGCATGCTTATGGCGCTCAAACTAGGGCCTTTTGTTGACAGCCTTTGTCGGCGACCTCCCCAGACATGGACGAACTCTATGCCCGAGCTGCATGGTACATTCAAATGGAAGAGCACACTATTTTTGGTGACCAAGTTCGTGGGAAACCACCGGGAAAGCCAGACCATGGCCACAAAGATAAGGTAAAAGTCACCAATGATAGCCAATTCAAGAAGGCAAGGGCGAGCAAAGGAGGGAGGTATGACTTCTACACCCCCTTGAACGCACCCCGAGTACACATTCTGGAGGAGGCTAGCAATACCAACCTGCTTACTCTGCCACCGCTTGGACATAGCCCCAGTAGTGCGGACAAATCCAAGCATTGCCGATACCATAAAAACTATGGTCACACAACCGAGGAATGTCGCACACTTAAAGATCGCATTGAGGAACTCGTCCAAGGAGGGCACCTTAGACAATACGTCCAACGGCAACAATCTCACAAAGGAGGCTACCATGGACGAGGACGAGGACGAGGCCAATATTCCGGTACTCGCACAGATCAACCTCTGGATCTCAGCAAAACACAAACGGGGCAATGTAGGCCGAGGTAAGTCATGATACAGAAATGACTCCCTTACGTGGAGTCATTAATACAATTGCAGGTGGCTTCGTAGGGGGAGGCTCTAGTAGCTCGGCGAGGAAAAGACACTTACGGAGCATCAACAATGTCCATACTAACACCTTGGCCTCGCACCGCAACACACCACCCATCACCTTCACGGATGACGACTACATTGGCATTTGTCCAAATCAGGACGACCCCATGGTCATCGCGGTGGAAGTAGCAAACTAGGAGGTCCACAAGATGTTGATCGACCAGGGAAGCTCGGCTGACGTCTTATACTGGCTGACATTCCTAAGGTTAGATATCCCTCACTCCCTCATTCAACCTCACACAGAACCCCTAGTCAGTTTTGCAGGAGAATGAGTCCACACTCGAAGATACATAGACCTGCTGACAACCTTTGGGACCCCTCCTAACTCAAGGAGGATCATGGTCAGATACCTCCTCGTTGAGGCCAACACATCGTATAACATCATCATCGGCAAGCCGACGTTGAACCAACTTGGAGCTGTGGTATCTACCCCGCACCTGACAATGAAATTCCTAGGGAATAACGGGAAGATCATCTCAGTAAGGGCAAACCAAAAAATAGCTCGATAGTGCTATGCTGAAAGCCTGAAGGTTTTGCCATCAAAGGAGCACCGCCGACGTAACCCCCCTACTGTCGCTCATATCACTCAAGAGGACATCACTGATCTGGACCCGAGGTCGGAATCCTATGATAATCGACCAAGTCCAATCGACGAGCTGGCTGATCTACAAATCGGGAAGCTCCCCGACCAATGCACCAAGATAAGCCAACACTTGAGCACGGAGTTACGACAACAACTTGAAGCCGAAATCTCCAAAAACGTCGACCTCTTCGCATGGTCCAGCGCTGACATGCCAGGTATAGACCCTAACCTTATCTGTCACAAGTTGGCAATCCACAAAGAGGCCAAACTGGTGGCCCAAAGGAAACAGAAGGTCAACGGTGAGAGACGAGAAGCTATCATAGCTGAGATGCAAAAGCTAATAAAGGCGGGGTTCATCTGAGAAGTCCGGTATACCACATGGCTAGCGAATGTGGTACTTGTTAAAAAGAACTCAGGAAAATGGCGTATGTGCGTTGACTACACCGACTTGAACAAGGCATGGCCTAAAGACTCATACCCCTTACCAAGCATTGACAGGTTGGTTGATGGAGCATCCAGGCACGCCCTCCTTAGCTTTATGGATGCTTATTCTGGGTACAATCAGATCATGATGTACCCACCGGACGGGGTGCACACGTCGTTCATCACCGACCACGCCAACTTCTGCTATCGCATGATGCCATTCGGCCTAAAAAACGAGAGAGCTAGTTATCAAAGGCTGATGGACAAAGTCTTCCACCAGCAGATTGGACGGAATATGGAAGTCTACGTAGACGACATGGTCGTCAAGACCACATGGCCGATGCCCATGTTGCTGACCTAGCCGAGGTATTTAATCAAATACAGAAGCACAACATGCGCTTGAATCCTGAGAAGTGCGTCTTCGGAGTCCAAGGGGGCAAATTCCTCAAATTCATGATCACCCATAGGGGTATTGAAGCCAACCTAGAAAAGTGCAAAGCCATCATACAGATTCATAGCCCTCACAATGTCAAGGATGTCCAACGCTTGGCAGGAAGGTTACTATCCCTTTCTCGTTTCATCCCCAGGTTCGCAGAGAAAGCCAGACCTATCTTTACCTTGCTCCGCAAACCAAAAAACTTTGAGTGGACTGATCAATGCGAAGAAGCTTTCAAGAGCTTCAAAACTTTCCTCACCACCCCGCCAGTCCTACAAAGGCCGCATCATCATTCCGACCTCCTCCTGTACTTGGCAGTCGGTGAGAGTGTAATCAGTGCGGTGATGATGCAGGAGCGTGACAAGAGCTAAACTCCTATATACTATATCAGTCGAGTTCTTCAAGATACAGAGAAAAGATACCAAACAATTGAGAAGCTAGCCATAGCATTGGTCACCTCGGCCCAACGCCTCCGGCCCTATTTTCAAAGCTACCAAATCGTTGTCAGAATGGACTACCCAATCAAGCAAATCCTGAGGAAGCCAGAACTTGTAGCGCGCATGATCGCGTGGTTCGTAGAGCTATCCGAGTTTGGCATCTGATATGAGAGTCGAGGACCCCTGAAGGCTCAATGCCTAGCAGACGTCGTGGCCGAACTCACCCCCACCTCAGTAGAAGAAAAGTAGGTATGGACTCTATATGTTGATGGATTTCCAATATTAAAGGTGGTGGTGCAGGTATCATTTTGGAAGGACCCAACAAGGTCACCATAGAACAATCTCTCAAATTCGGATTCAGAGTCACTAATAACCAAGCAGAGTACGAAGTATTACTTGCAGGACTGAGGTTGGCTCACGACCTCGGAGCGCAAAGGGTGAGCTGCAACAGTGACTCAAAACTCATGGTAGAACAACTCAGTGGGGCATACCAGACCAAGGACACCCTACTGCAAAGGTACTTTCATGCAGCATCCCAGCAGATCTCATCCTTTGATGAGTTCACCATACGCCATGTGCCCCGAGAGCAGAATGTCAGAGCCGATCTCCTGTCCAAGCTCGCCAGCACAAAACGCCCTGGACAACATCGGACCATCATCCAAGAGACTCTGAATTCACCCAGTCTAGACGATAAAGTCGTCATCGCCAACAAAAATGAAGACCAAGGATGGATGACAGGTATATGGAGCTACTTAAAGGAGGGAACTCTACCCGAGGACAAAGATGAAGCTCAGAAGATGAGGGTGAGGTCATCCAAGTTTGTCATCATTGGAGATGAGCTGTTCAAACGCAGCATCTCCACTCCCCTGTTGAAATGCCTAGCAAAGTCCCAAGCCACCTATGTCATCGAGGAGATCCACCGAGGAATATGTGGTATGCACTCCGGGGCACGCTCGATGGCGACCAGGGTGCTCCGGGCTGGATACTACGTGGCCTTTCGCCTAGTGGGGAATGGACATCCTCAGACCATTTCCCCCCTCGAAAGGTCAACTGAAATTCCTCCTTGTGGCAGTCGACTACTTCACCAAATGGATTGAGGCGTGCCCACTTGTGAAAATTACCACCGAGAACATGCAGAGGTTCACCAGGAAGAACATCATTTACAGGTTCGATATTCCACACTCCCTCGTCACCGATAATGGCAGGCAATTCATCCCGCAAAGCTTTGAGACTTTCCTCTGAGAACTCGAAATCAAGCACCTTCCAACCTCGATGGAACACCCCCAAACCAATGGCCAAGCCGAAGTCGCGAACAAGGTAATACTCTGAGAACTCAAGAAGGGACTGTCGCAACCCGAAAATTTCCGATCTCGCGACTTATGGTTTAGACATCCTTTTAAGTCTCATTAATTAAGGAATGCTTGGACACCAGACTAATCCTTAATTAATGGTTTTGAAAATAGGTTCATAGAGTCGCCACCAATGTTTTACTCAAAACATTGGAAAAATAAAAGATTTTTAAAAGTCCAATAATGGCCTTGATAACCAGAATTGGGTTCGGGGGTCGGTTACGTGTATGGAAGGTATTAAGCACCCCTACACCGCCCTAAATAGGTACCCTATGATGAAGATAACGTAATAAAAATTAATAGTTTAAATATTTAATCCCCTTTATTAATGATTATTTACATGAAAATTAAATTACACGGTGAACTCCTAAGATATCTACATAATTGCGTTTATTATAGTAATATGTAAAATAAAAGAAGAGAAAGATAAAACAAGAGATTGATGAGTAATACCTCGTAACAAGCTTTATTGGATCTTCAACTATGGAGGTTTTAGGTGCTTTATGACAACCTTTCACACTACAATTGCCTCACAATACTCAAGAAATACAACAAGAGAGAGAGAGAGAAAAAAGGGAGCAATTTCGAGCTCTAAGGAGTGCTGGACAAAATTTTGGAGCCCCTGAGAAATAAGCCCCAGCTGTCTATTTATAAACTTTAGAAAGGGTCCAGAACGGCCCGTTCCGAAATCGGAACGGCCCGTTCTGAACATGGCCGTTGTGTGTAAATTTCGTATACTGGAACGGCCCGTTCTAAAATCAGAACGGCTCGTTCCAGTAGTGAGATTAACACATAATTTCTTAGACTGGAACGGCCGTTCCAAATAAGAGCTTGTAGGCCATTCTAATAACTTGGAATGGCCCGTTCTAGTTTAGGAACAGCCCGTTCCAGTTAAAGTTTTAGCCCTCTTTTGAAGAGTTTGGAACGGCCTGTTCCAATCTTGGAATGGCCCGTTCCAATTTCGGAACAGCCCATTCCAAATTAGGGTTTTTGGCTCTTTTAGGACCTTGGAACGGCCCGTTCCAAATTGGGAACGGCCCATTCCGATTTTGGAACAGCCCGTTCCAATCTTCTAAAATTAGCTTATTTGGACTTTTGGGCCTTCTAAAGTCTTGTCTTGTTGTTTGCATTCTTTGGGAGCTCCTTCCCTTCATAACAGAGGTCCATTTCCTTGTTTGTATGCCCCTGGAAGAAATTGGTTGTCTACAGCTACCCCTCTTTACTTGTCCTTTGGAATAGCAATGTGTTGCTTTTCCAAAGGCAAGAAAAGACGTAGACATTTCGTCTAGGTCTTCTCTTCGTCTCTTTGGTGCTTCTATGTTGTTTTCCTTTTGATAATGTGTAGCTTCTTTCACTTTGAGGTTAGGTAACCCACTTTGTACTAGTTTTGGGGATCTAGCAACCCTTTCACTAAGGTCAGGTAACCCCACTTTGTACTAGTTTTGGGGATCTAGCAACCCTTTCACTAAGGTCAGGTAACCCAATTTGTACTAGTTTTAGGGATCTTGCAACCCTTTCACTAAGGTCAGGTAACCCACTTTGTCGTTGAAGTAGTTTCGTAGCTCAGCCTCTCCAAGCTAGACTGATATTTTAAGGCTTCAGCCAGCCTCCTCTAAGGTCAGGTAACCCAATTTGTTGTTGAAGTAGTTTCGTAGCTCAGCCTCTCTAAGCTGGACTGATATTTTAAGGATTCAGCCGGCCTCCTCTAAGGTTAGGTAACCCACTTTGTTCTTGTACTAGTTTTAGGGATCTAGCAACCCTTCACTAAGGTCAGGTAACCCACTTTATTCTTGTACTAGTTTTAGGGTTCTAGCAACCCTTTCTGTGTTTGTACTTGATATCTTCTTGTTGGTGTTGTGAGATGACCATTAACCACCTTCAAATGCGTTTCAAAGCAATGGTACGCACTCATTTCTCATCCACGTTTCCTTCGTCGATACCTCACCTCCAACCGTTTTCCCTCTTCCTTGTTGCTCGCACCCTTTCCCATGCACTCGCGTCGACACCGCGCGAAGCTCATTCCCCCTCTCGCAGCTTCTCCTCCTCCAACGCTCATCGACTTCGGTTTCCTCAACGTTCCCCACTTGGCCCTTAGCGTCGCGCAATCTTGCAACGGCTTGCTGCTTGTGCAAGGGACGCACAAGGACAAGAGGTGGCCACTGTCACGCGAAACGCGCCGCTCCAATCTCTTCGTGTGTAACCCAATCACCGAACGTTCCGTCGCAATCACGGGAATAGCGACAAAGAGTAATTTTTTTCTCGCTTATGACCCTCTGAAGTCTCTGCATTTCAAACTTGTTTCTGTCCAATCTGTGCATCGTTTCGCTTCGGGGGAAACAACGTTAGCTTGGGGTGACTATTATACGAACGAGGTTGCTATATATTCTTCCGAGACAGCTTGTTGGAGTGATACTAGGGTTTGTTTCACTACCCCTCCTTCTATGAATATGGATTTAGGTGTTTATTGCAATGGTTCTGTTCATTGGTATATTAAAGCTAAGGAGTCGTTTTACTTTGATGTGGAAAGCCAATGCTTGAAAACGTACCCAATGCCACCCAATATTGAGAACCATGAGAAGAGTCATTTCGGTGAGTCACGGGGGCGTTTGCATATGATTCTCATGTCCCCTCAACTGTTTTTGTATGATATTTTTGAGTTGGAGGAAGATTACTCTGCTTGGTCACTGAGGTTCCACAAGCTGGATCTTAGTCCCATGCAAGCTGCATTTCGAGGCATGAATTGGTACTTTGAAGACGATGTTATTCCATTATTTGATATATTGTGTGTTGTTCGCCATAAAAGTGAAGATGATTTTGTGCTTCTGTTGCTTATTCCTGATAGAGTCGTCTTGTCCTATAATGTTTTGGATGCTACCGTCAGAGAGCTAAGTGAACTTCAGCCTATTGTTAGGTCACATGCTCCTTGGGTTGGAGGTTACACCTTTGTAGCATTTGAATACATTGAGAATCTTTCTCCGGTTGGAGGTTTCACTGCTTGACGATACTAATCTAATGATCCATTGTCCTCTAAATTATTTGTAAGTGCTTCATATATATATATGTGTGTGTGTGAATCTATAGATAAATTGATCTATTTATTTTGCAACAAATGTTTTCCAGTTTGTATTCAGCACTGATATTTTTGTGTTGTTAATTTGTTACTAGTAGTAGTTAATGTAATTTCCAATTTTCAGGGATGCTGCAATATATGCTTATGATAGTAATTTTCAGTAAAGCCACAACAACTATTTGAGGGAGCTTTCACATTCCCAGTGGTTATACTACATCTAGAATATATTAAAAAAATCTGCAAAAAACAAAGCTGTAATATTGTATAGATGTGTGTTTTGTATTTTTTTTTAATTTATTTTACTGGCCTTTTTTCTAAATACATCTTTTGTCTATGTAATTGTGTTGCACAGTTTAAAGTATAATTTGTGACCTTGCTTGGATGCTTTAAAATACACTCTGTACAGTTGAGTTTTGTCTATTTTCTGATAAGTTTGTTGTGATTTTTTGTTTTCAAAGAACTTCTAACCATTAAAAGAAGCCATAATCGCTTTTAATATGTTTTATATGTGTTTGTGACAATGCTTGGATGCTTTGAAATATACTATGTTGGTGTTGATTCTGTTGATATTTTGTCGTGTTCTTTGATAAATTTGTTGTTCTAACTTGAGATGTGGAAAGCCAATGCTTGAAAACGTACCCAATGCCACCCAATATTGAGAACCATGAGAAGAGTCATTTCGGTGAGTCACGGGGGCGTTTGCATATGATTCTCATGTCCCCTCAACTGTATCGACCTTCCCTCTATGAGTGTTCACTGTGCATTTTCTGTGTATATTTTCAGTACCATTTTAATGCCATAAGGGACAAGAGAAAAGAAGGAAGGAATGTTATTATTATTATTATTATTTTTTCAAAAGGGTTGTTAGAAGGGATTTTTCAAAAAGGGTTTTTTAGAAGAAGGGCTGGTCAAGGTAGGCTTCGGTGTTTAGGGTTGTGTCGCAACCCAAAAATTTCCGATCTTGCGACCTATGGTTTAGACATCCTTTTAAAGATCTCATCAATTAAGGAATGCCCGGACACCAGACTAATCCTTAATTAATGGTTTTGAAAATAGGTTCATGGAGTCGCCACCAATATTTTACTCAAAACATTGGAAAAAGAAAAGGTTTTTAAAAGTCCAATAATGACCTTGATAACCAGAATTG